AAGGCGAGCCTGCGAAATAGACAGGCCCTCTGGCCTAACGAACTAGTAGTCGGGGTCATGCAGCTTTCCATCTTTCAGACCTGCCAGTCATCGATCCGCCAAGTCGGCTGCCTGTGAAGTTGTTGCAAGCCACATAGATATTACGACATTGCAAATGTTGTCAGCTATCAAATGAAACTTAAGCAACAGCCGCCACCTTACGATTCAAGTTCTCACTCATAGGCAGAGTGAGACTAGAGACCTCGACTGAAACAAATCCCCGTGAGCCTCCATGAATGTTAATGGCTTACTGAGTGCGAATAGAGCTATACCATTTCCGGGGACCGACGTGTCCGGACCTTTACTAGCGGCCTTGATATCAGGCATGCGAACTGTCATCCCTCGTTAGAGAGAGGAAGCCTGTGTCGTCTACTGGAATATGAGTGTCCTTTTCGACTCAGGCAAAGAAGTCGCCTAATGGATGGCGCTCCTACCATCTTTAACACTTTTCCTCTGAAGAAGTCAAAGTCGGCAAGAGTATGTTTTTGATTACTCATCATCGGGGTGGTGTGATAAAAGAAGACAAGGCAGAGCAGTGAAAGTCGAAAAAAGCAGTCAATGAACAGTAGTGGTGGTGAAGGGGGTTGAGGGTCTCATGAACTGTCAGAACGAGGACAGGAGGAGGTGGGGGGGAGGGGGCTGCCAATGGATTTTGTTTTCTTCGCCGTAACGCGACGTGGTTAGATGCGAGTACGAAAATGTGGGTCGCAGTTTTGGCTGGAGTAGCTTGAGGACTTGAACTGATGTGACCACCGCCTCTTTCGCCTTAGGTGCAGATGAAGGTGCAGATACACATTGGAGAAATCAATGTGGGCAGTTTATTCCTACCTTTAAAGCGAAGAGGCGGGGAGAGAGAAGCTGAGCCCATCGTAACCACCTAGTACCCGTGTGCAATAGCAGAGCTCAGGCGACATTGTAGGATTTAGCTGTCCTGGGCTCCTCGAGACAGCAATGTGAGGAACAGCTCCTTCTTTTCAATCATCGACACGCCCGTTTTCGGCGGACGTTATTACATACATCTCGTGATAAATTTCTCCTGACAACTGTTTTTTTCACAGTGCTTCCTAGAAGAGTAATTTCGTTTTTCAGCGTATCCGGAGGGTGTATTCTCCTATCTTGATTAATCTGTCTGCCTGTTGGCAATCCTGTTGGCCAATTCCGGCATAAAAACAATCAGCCAGGGTTGGGCATTTTGTATCAACTTGGCGTTGTAGCCATGCTTCACCAATAGGTGAACCAAACATTCATGAGACGATAATGTGGCGGCCTAAGTGTGCTGACCTCCCTCTCCTCTACCCTTCTCCTCCCGCTCTACTCCCTACTCTAATCTTTCCCTCCTACGGTGAGGGCGACGTGCGATCCCGTAGACGGCCGAGGCCGGTCGGGTCGTTCGCTCATCAAACCTAGTGGCTCATAGTGCAGAGCGGCAGCCGTCTGGTGCGGCTAAGTAGCCCTATTTGGGGAGAGTACTACCTTACCCCGCGAAGGGGAGGGGGCTATAAACGGTTCCCTAAACAATGCTAAGTTCACGACATCTGCTTTCAGGCCGTGGTTCTCAGACTGCAATACCTGCGGTCGAAACCAACAAAGAAGATATAATACTCCTTCCCTCTCTTCCCTCCCTCCTCCTCCCCTCTATCCTACTTCGCAGACTGCTAGGGTGAGTCCGCTTACTCTGGCAACCTGGACTGTTCATTCCCCCTTAGATAATCCAAGGATCAACCAACCGAAACAGAGGACGGCGCTAGTCGTTCGGAAAACGCCGCGCTAAAAGGTGGGCATTGTGTCATTCATCAAGACTCCGTTCTCTGAACAAGGTCAGCTGGATGAGGTGGGTGTCAACTATACCTTCTTCTGAAGCGGCCGCCCCTAGGGCAAAGCGACGACACACCGGCGTCACCTTTCCCATCAGGAATGATATTGTGGGACGACTGCCCTGTCTTTCGCAGAGCATCAGTGATCGGCCGATGAACCTCCGGCTACCTCTTTGATGATCCATCTCCCTCACCATCCTCTGCGCCTACGCCCCTCTAGTTGCCAACTCAGACGAGGCGAAGGCAAAGTCCTACGGAGACCCGCACGCTGTCCTGACGTCTGTGCCGAAAGCGCATAAGTTGATTGTCCTTGATGACCTCGATGCCCGCGTGGGGACAGACTGCGCTGTATGAAGAGGAGTGCTGAGTCCTCATGGAATCACCGAAGAAAATGACAATGGCCTCCTTATTCTGCGAAATTGCGTTGAACACCGCCTTTTGCTGACCGACACCCTCATCCGCCTTCAGTTGGGGAAGCAGACCAACCGGATGCACCCCCGATCGCGACACTCGCAGTTGTTTGACTATGTTCTCGTTCTGCGGCGAAATCGGCAGATTGTGATGGGGACCAAGGCGATCTGCGACCCCGATGGCTGAACGGACCCCTGCCACGTCATCCCCAAGATGAGGTTCTGTCAGCAACTTCACAGGAGGCCACAAGGTAGACTGAATACTACTTTGTTGTCTTTACCTGCTCACCACTTGCATTCCAGAAATCAACTGACACTGTGGCTGGAAGACCTGCCGACCACAGATGTAAACGCTTCCGTGGAGACACAGTGGTGCCAATTGCAGGACGCCGTTCATTCAACCGCCTTGGGTGTCCTCGGCCGCGCAAGTCGCCAGCACCATGACTGGTTCGACAACGAGGCAGTCATCAACAACCTGCTCTGCTCGCCGAGAAGAACAGGCTGCACAGAACGTACCTCGACCGTCCGACCGATGTGAACAAAGCGGTCTTCGGCCAATGTCGCCGTCTTGCGCAGCAACGATTGCGAAAAATGCAAGATGCCTGATGGCTCGCAAGGCCGAGGAGATCCAGGGATGTGCTGACCGCAGCGAATGAAAGAACTTCTTCACTGCGATCAGGGTTATGTACGTCCCCCCCCCCCCCCCCCCACCGAAGGAACTGAGCCGCTTCTCGGCTCCAATGAATCAACGCTTCTGGCGGAGAAGTCGCGGATTCTGAAACGCTGGGCCGAGCACATTCGACTGACCAATGAACGGCTGCATACTTGCTCCCACCCTCTTCAGCCTCATGTTCTTTGCCGTGCTGATGGACACCTACCGTGATGAGCGCCCCGAGATACGCATTGGCTACAGAACTGACGGGCATCTTCTCAACAGCATGCGCATGTGGGCCCCCACGCGACTATCCATGACTACTGTCCACGACTTGCCCTTTGTTGACGGCTATGAGCTCAACACCACGACCGAAGAAGACATGCAACAAGGTATGGACCTCCTCGCCGCGGGGCGCGCCAACTTCGGACAGACTATCGACATGGAGAAAAACGGTGGTCAATCACCAACCATCGATTTACCCACGATACAGTTCTCCTCTTCGTAGTAATGTCGACGGCCACTAGATAAAACCGTAGATAATCTGGCTTGTCTCGAAAACATATTTCCCGACAGCGCAAAAATCGACGGTGAGGTTAACCATCGGAATTCCAGAGCGCCAAGCCTCCGGCCTACTGCAGAACTCCGTGTGGGATCGTCACAGCCTCCAACTGAAAACTAATCTGAAGATGTGCAAGGCCACCGTCTTCACAACACTTCTCTCTGGAGCAGAGACATGGGTCGTTTACTCCAGCCATGCCAAGAAGCTCAACAACTTCAACCTCAACTGCCTTTGTAGAATACTAAAGCTGAGATGGCAAGACGGAATCCTCGACACGGAAGTCTTAGAACGGACCGGAATCCTCAGCCCCCACGCCACTTTGAAGTAGCTACAAATACGTTGGAGCGACCATCTCGTGAGGATTGAAGATAAACGTCTTCCGAAAGAACTCTTCCGTGGTGATACCGCTACGGGTACTCGTCGACAAGAAGGACAAAAATGGCACTACAAGGACACTTTAAAGAACTCTCTACCACGCCTGTAGATCAATCTGGCGACTGGGAGAACCTCGCCAGAACAGACCGGCATGACGAAGAGAAGGGAAAACCGGCGCAGCCATTTACAAAGCGAAACGGATCGCAGCCGCCAAAGCCAAAAGTGAGGCTTGAGAGTCACAAGCGTCTCGACTCCTCAATGCCAACAGTCAGCCACTTCCGACGTCGCTCTGCCGGTACGCATTTCGCGAGCGGAACGGTCTCGTGGGCCTCATTCGGACCCAATGTGCCAACAACCCGGCAAAATTTACTTCTTCGAACCCGTGTCGATTACCACCCTCGTCACCGCCGATTACACAGTCGCTACCCCGCTGCCATCAACCACCTTGCCTTAACTCCTGCACCGACCACAGCGACCAGCTCTACCATCATTACCACAAAGACATCACGCACTCCTATCGCCTTCTACCATCACCACGAACACCAACACCTCTGGCGATGTGGACTCCGTCCATACTTGTCCTTATGGCGACCGCAAATTCCCCTCGCACATCGTCATAGTCGGTCACTTGCGAGTCCATCGCGCAGAGACTGGCAAAACAATGCCTGGAGCACCAACATACACTCGTCACATCCGCCTCAAAAGCCCTCACTGCCCATGCATATTCAGCCACCTCATGGGCCTACTAGGTCGCAAGTGCACTCATGAAAACCTGCTGTAGACAACCGCCGGTTACACCACACCATCACACATCCTCCCTGCACTTGCACGACACAACAACATCACCGATCGCTGCGCAAAACAAAGCACTCCATCGCCATCTCCCACGCAAGTGGGATGTGTGCTCCTCGGCCCCTTCTTCATGCAGCTTTTCTGTCCCATGTGTGATCCGGGTCTGAGACTACCATGGTGCGTCATGGGCCTTTGTCAGGAAGGCCGCCGACTGGCGCCTCAACTCAGACCCCGCAGTCAGCCCAGTTGTGTGTGTTTATGTGGAGTGGCAGACTGGTGGACTCATTCAGGCTGCCACGGCTATTTCCTAACGTGATCTCTGGCTCTCTGACAGGTGTGGAGTATGTGTGTGTACATGGCTACTGGCTCTCAGTCGACGACTGACTGGTTGCCCGGTCTCTGACGGGCGTTGGCCCAGGCTCAGTACAGGGCTGTGTTCCACCTTTCTGGCCTTGAGGATTGCGTGCGTCTGCTATGCCATTATTCAGCAAACCGTGGCTCCAGAAGCCGGGTAAGCGCTGGCTGTTCCCTGGCACCTGCTTCCCTGCTGATAGATGCGCTTACGCTCCAAATGAATATACGGGCCGTGCGCATGGCTACGCAGTAATTCTCGTCCTTCTGACCTGTTGTTGGTGACAGTCCTGTTCAAGTGTTTGTTGTGGACTAGGGGATGTGGTGGCACGCCTGGATGCTGGTCCGGCCGTGCCAGTCATCTACGCCCTTTCCCACCTCTGGTCTTCTTGACTGTTTGTTGACACCGGGCCCCGGTGGGGGAGGGGAGGGAACGAGTCAGATGCGGCGCAAGTCCACTCTCACTACAAATTAATTCACGCGCAAGCAATCGTGCCTGCTCTCACCTTGCCGTGGACCACACGGTGGGCGTCAACGGACGCGACGTTTGAACTGTCATACGCTGTGCTCTCATCGCTTTGACCGCATTGGCGGACCGAAAGCCCGGTCTAAGTCCACGCAGGTGTTTGGCCGAAAAAGCTATTGCAGGCTGAAACAGTCGCCATTTCTTCTTCCCCTGTGTTTGTTGGTTAACTTCTTCCATTGCAAAAAGTCTGCCATTTGAGAATCAACATTAAACTACTGTTTGTTACATCGTTACTTTAAGTATTTGGACATATATATATACCATGATTCGTCATGCGACCACATTTTTCCTTTGCGAGTTATTCACAAAGCATTCAGGAAGTCAAAGCTTATCTTTCCTTAGACTGTTCTGTTTCTTCTTTAGCGTTTGTCATGGCAAAGCAATTTGTAACTTCTGTTTCGCGTCCCACCATTACTTTATTGCCGGTAGAGAGACACACATGTCACTTAAGAATATTTCTTCTTCGTCCTTTTGACAGTTTCCATACATATTGTAAATATCTACAGTCTTTATTTTAACTTCTAGCGCAGATTTGAATTACCTCAAGACCACAATGGGGATATTCCAAAAGACGGACATATTCTTGGTATTTTGTTTATAGATGAATCAATTGCACCCTGAAAAAGAGGGTGTGTTCCAAAAAGGGAAGAGAACTGTAAAAGGATTGTAGATACTAGTTCCAGTACAGGTGTATTATTGTCTGAGAGCCGCGGTATTTTGTAGAATCTTGACACAACAACTTCGGCTAACAACCAAAAACATGGACAGAGTTGTCAACACAAAATCACAGTGTAAACATATAGGTGAGGAACCGCAAATATTGAACTATGAAGATCAAGAGAAGGATCGTCATTGCAGCAAAAGCCTGAAGTTGAAGAAATGGTCCATCAATGTCTGATATCGCGTCCATAAATCGATACGAGGCATCATCCGGCGAAGCGAAGCCATTTTGAAGGAGACTGATTGGACAGTCTTCACCTAAACGCGGTGGGCACTCTTCTTCCTGTGTCATCACGAAAACAGAAAATGAAATACACATTTTGCCAGTAAGACATCTATAATTAGAAATCCTCTACGGCCCACTTTGGTAGACAAAACCTTTGTTGTACTGAAAGCGGATCTGGTAACTGAAATTCATTAACCCAAGTAAGTCGTACCTTATTTACCAAGAGCTGACAATCGAATGGTGGAATCTATGTTTATGCTGTTAGTTGTAAGGAGTTGATAATAAAGTCCGTACACTTATAGCTGACTCACGGCCATTATTACTACACAGTTTTTAGTTCTGTGAGGTCTTGCATAAAAAAGCCTGGAACAGCATACTCAGATATACAAGTATTCTTCGAAGGAATAACAAACTATGTCCGTATAGGTCGGGGGAAAAAGCACTAATATCTTAAAATCCTTCTGTTCGGCCTCTCAAAGGAAGAAATAGTGGCGTCAGCTGTCATAAAACTACGCGTCAAGAGAACGAGGACAACCCGTCTAATCAACAATCTTCTGCAGTACACGCTAATCTGACTTGCTAAGACATAACCCATTTTCCTATGGTAAAGGCATTTTTGCTTATTCTTTGCGTTTTGTTATAGTTCGAAGGCTCTCAAGAGAAATTGATGCGGTTTATATTGGCGTCATAAACCACCTAGTAAGTATCCCCTGTCGAAAACATGTTCTATTTGATACTAAAAGAAAAGGCCACAATAATGTGTAAGCCTCCGTTGATTTTACGTTGTCTTTATTTACTCTAATGTTCTTAGTCTTTATTCACTCAGTCTTTTAAATTGCAAACTAACGAAATCACTAAGAATTTGTCAAAAATATCGAAGGAATAGGTCGTTTCTGCTTGCCGTCTGGGTAGCGTTATCGACTCGGCGCGTGAAATGCGTTAACATATCAGCTTATTTTATGCTGTTGTTTTATTTTAACTGCTACACCCGGCATATAAACGGATAGAATCACCTGCTTTCTAATAGTTTATTTTCTTCAAATTTCATCCCTTGCATTTATCTGCACACTGTTTTCCTTGCTCCTAGGCGCTTGCCGGGGTTGTTGTTTGCTCGTACGAACCATCTGGTGAATTCATGAAAAATGCATTTTGTCCATGCCATCTGGTGCTGCAGTAGTTTGTTTTTGCTGTTCAGCGAGAATTCATCACTAGCATTTTGAGCACAGTAACCATACGTCACATTTGGTTTTGAGTGAACAATTGGCCGTGTACAGACAAACGACACTAAATCTGGCTGCATATCAGGACGACAACGAGGTTGATCAGAAGACGAAGATGCGATCACCGGAACAAGAAATTTATTTGCCTGACGTTTCGGATCCTTACTCGAATCCATCATCAGAGACATTAGCAGATAAAGGTGATTGTGGCACCAGGAGTGCAGTTGATGTTTTAGAAAAACATGGACAAAAATATGTTTTCTTTCACTCATTCGATAGAGAATCACGTCATCTCCATATTTTATACTCGAAGAAAGAATATGATTAGGTTTTAAATAAGTTTCTAGTTATGAGATTTTTAAGACCGCTCAGTGTCTACTCATGCAGCATCGTACCTGTCCGTTTACGACTGCTGCTCATCAAGTGTACAACATAGTCCGCACCCATAGCAAAATTTTATGGACTCTATATAATATCTTTTAGAAGGCATGATTTTCCTTACGCGGAACGCATGCACCTTGTGACTGAAATCACTTAACCCTAATGCAACGGCTGATCAGGCTCCAAATTATTCGGGAATTAGAAAACTCCTTTAAAACCTAATTATAATCTTTTATCGAGTATAACATATGAAGATAACGTGATCCTCTATCGAATGAGTGAAATAACACATAATTTTGTCCATGGTTTTCTAAAAATGTATTTGAATTTCTAAGACCATCAAAAACAAATGCAACGAAAAATGCATGCTACTTAAGCAGTCATTTTTTTACCGAGTGTGGTATCTACAGGAGATCGAGAAGTAGTGCATTTAAAAGCCAACTACCTGCTGAGTCCGAAATATTATAGGGTTATGTCGCATGTTAATCAGTATTACAACCCCGTCTAAGTAATTCTTCCTAATAGAAAACGCATTTCATAATTTCGGCCATTTCATGAGATCGGGCACTCACTGTATATTGAAACTTTGGCCAACCATAATAGCACTAATACAATGTACCTGAACTATTTTGCGGTATTGTCCTTTTGCCTGATCTTCGTCATTAATATATTCCTTTCGGCTTCGTGATCGCGTTCGACCGCGCCCACAGGGCGGTTTGCACTCCGACCAGTTTGTCCACATGTCGGCCTGTTTCGGAGGTTTCGGAAAAAATTGAACTATATTTGTGGAAAAAACGCACACCGTAAATATACTGCTCATATAAAAATTCAAGGAGACCGAATTAGGTGGCGTTATAGCATTCTGTGCCTCCCCTTCAACCGTTGAATTATTTACACATTTGTGCAACGGCGAACACCATTTACAATAACGTTGTAGAACAGTCATGTGGGGTAAGTGATGAACAGTACTAAGGAAACATCATCAACGAAAACTGCCAAGAGAATCGTATCGCCGTTTCCTGTCCCTCATGCCGAGCTGCCTTAACGTTCGGACATGGATCATAGTGCTACGTGGTTTGCGGGGGAACCTTGCGAAAGGTGAGCGCTACAGAAAAAAGAGCATGGGCCAGTCAGTTGGAAAACCAATTCTAGCGCGTGCATAAGGAGTGCTTAGTTAGTAGGAACGAGAAGGAGCTATTTACAAAGGAAAAGGTGTAAGATGTGGTTATGCTACCCCACTTGAGGGACACAATACTGTTGGGGTCTGAGTTAGGAGGCTAGGTTTAGGGGCTAGGGCAACTATTTCTCAACCACTCAAATGCGCTCAGCTGACCGAGTTTCCAACTGTCTTCGTTTGAGACCAAAATGTTTTTATTCACGACTATGTGTACACTTAGAGTCACGAGTAGGAATTTCCAGCCCAGACAAAGGCATCTTTACTTCACCAGGTAGGATGGTGATGGCAGTGTAAAAGAATAAAAGGCTAAGGGCTCTGCGTGCCCGCATGACCATACTACGGAATCTTCGCTTGACCGTTGTGGGTGGTCGATCCTCCCATAACAACCCCACATTTTCTCACTGGTACCATCAACACATGTGCATGGCGTTCACCTCTAGTATTCCCCTCGTCAGGAAGTGTTGCGGGCAACGGTCAGGGACACAGGTCTGACCATTTCTGGCTTTCTGCCGTAGTCAGCCTGTAAAACCACAGCCGCAGATGCTGACACCCAGCGTCTGCATTATTGGACACTGGACCTTTAAGTCCCATGTCCCCTCTGATTGAGATAATATTGTAAAGCCAAACAGTACAAAGTCAAATCTCTCTCCCTTGGTGAATGATGTAGGTAGAATTTCAGATGATCGGATATATGGTCCACTGAGGAAACGGGAGGCAAGGACTTCTGTAATACGGGAATAGTTATGATAGGGTTTTATGAGAGGGGCAAGCGAAACTGACAGATAGCTGTTTTCGAGATGCAGAATAAAGAATTACATTTACGTCATTTGCTGGTTTAAATACACGGACAAGGCGTAAAGTCTCAAACGCGCAGTTTGAAATTAGGAGCTGGAAACGGGTGAGAAATTGAAAAGAGAGGGCACTGGTTAGACACTGCAGGCGAACGGATCCTAACATGTGATGACCAATCAGGTCGAAGAAAAAAATGTGGAAAGTTTATTGTCAAATCCGACCTTCATGATGGCCGCGACCGAAGATAGAACTGAAGTCGACAGCGTCGGTTGCCTAACCTCAAACCCTAAGCCTGTTTTTAAAGTCTAACCCCAACCCCGGCCCTAACCCCAGGCCTAACCTTAATCTCTGGTTATAGACCTAGTTCTTACCCCTCGTCCTAGCCCCTAACTCCCCAACTTTTATCCGAACACAAACACCAATGGTGACTATTGATGGAGGCGTGACGAGAATAAGGGAAAGGCAGAGTTAAATTAAGCCTACCCAAATGACATAAGCAGGCATTTTTTATAGAAGTAAAGGCTCAGTGTTGACGTATAAGTGATCGTCCCCGAGTTGCGTGCCTAGCTGAACCTCCTTTAATATGTTCAGCCTGCTGTGCTGATGTCATCAACGAGAATCGCCACAAAAATGACGATGGTCTCAGCACATGATGCTTGTGGGTAAAACTGGTGACCGCTGATGAATGCCCTCAAAGACCATTTCGATACGCATGCACAGAGCTAGCAATCTCTTACATGCTTCCAGTAGGCCTGTTATTTAGAATATGAGGTTACTGCTTTCAAGCTCTTGAGAGTATGACAAATCTTATGGAAGGATGAGGCCGTCAGAAGTTTTCAACCTTTGGGTTCAAACTTCTTAATTAATTCAACAAAGAGTGCTCTGTAAGACGAGTGCTGTCATTGGGGTAAAGGCAACACAACAAGAACATGCTTCAGACAAACATCTTCCATTCAACAGCTTTCTGCATTATTCCACGTTAAGCTTCTGATGACTGGGTCAGTGTTTCTGCTGGACACCTAGTCATTCATAAATGCAGTGACTTTGGCCCTGAGCTGACTGCACTACAGTTGCGTTAGCTCAAAAGGGTGATCCCGCCGACCCAGACAGTACGTTAGTTGTGCTGCGCTGAGTCTCCGTGAGTTCTTTACTGTCGCGTTGGAAATGGGCTCACACCATGTCATTCACTGCGGCCATGTTCATCACCAGTCGAATTAGACTAGAGAAGACAAACTGGTGTGAATGGGAGGAGAGAGAGAGTGAGTGGGGTCGATGGTTAACCTCCCTTACCACAGCTATTGGAGAAATTCTTTATTACTAGTAGACTAGTGTGCTTGAGTCCATCGTGATGCATTAGGAGTCATAGCATGAGAGATGGCCAGTTGGCGGGGTGACTCGGTCATCTTCAGAACTGAAGGGTAGACTGTAAATAGCCCCATACATGCGAAAGGCGATCGTTAGAAAGGAGTCGAGAAGGAGACGTGATCACAGTAATAAGCATTTGAATCGCCTGGGATTCTTCCCTAGCATCGAAGGCTCTGCGGAAAAACTGCATCCACTAAATATTGCACCTTTGTGCGTCCATCGCCCTTATTGGTTGTTGTATTCTTTAATTTCGCCATAACCACCAACAACCCACCGTTATCTGCTTTGTTGACTTCACCGTTACGTTCGATTCCATCCATCGAGTCTTGTGGAGAATATTGGAGCGAGACGGTACATCTGTCGAAATCATCGTCATGTCCGAGGCCTACGATCGCTCTACCACCGCGCTAGCCCCGGTTCATTACAATCTTTCCCAACCGTTCGACATTCGACCTGACATTCGACCAGGTTGTATTATGTCGATCATTCTGTTCGACTACACCACTTAATGGATTCCCGGGAAGGTCCTACACGAAGTTGAAGCTGTTGAATTTACACCCCAACATTAACCGACTGCTTTCGACTACGCTGATGATATTGGCTTGCTAGTTTCAAGTTTTGGTACTCTGCAGTCTATCATGTCATGGGTTGCTAGGGTTGCCAAATCGACCGACTTATCCATAAACGCTCGGAAGACCAACTTGTTTTCTAGCTGCACTCCTGTCTACGAGAATGTATCTTTCGAGAGTAACGAATACCATTTTGAAGATTTAGACAGTTTCAAATACCTTGGGGCGAGACTGGTGCCGAATGGGCAGTCTCCCGAACCGATGCTGCTCACCGAGTTTCTTCAAGCCTTAGAAAGTGCCTATGGACCTAAAGCGACATCTTCCTCAACACGACGTTTCGCGTGTTCTATGCACCCGTCTGGTCAGTTCTTCTCCATGGATGTGGATGCTGGGCTGTGGGAATGGAGGACGAGAGGAAACTGGAGGTATTTGTCTACCACTGCTTGGGGATCATCCTTCGAGTTAACTGCACTGATTTCGTCCCAAATGACACAGTCTACATCCGCCGCGACATCTCGAGGACAACTAAGGCCATTGCAGGAAGATGACTGAGGTAGTTTGAGCACGTTCTTCGTCGTCTACCTCATTAGGTCACTGCTGTTGCCCTCGATCAGGCACTGTTACCCACCTTAAGCTGCCAAAGAGGAAGTAAACTCAAAAACTGGCTCGATGAAGTCCGTTGAGTAACGAAAGTGGTTCTTGGAATTTCGTTATTCGGTCTCCGTCACTGATGAAGACAATGGGTTGGGCTGTCAAGATCTGAAGCCACGGATCGTCACGTGTGCAGAGGTATACCCCGTGACATAATCGAGGCCGGCCATGTGAGGAATGGTCGCAGCCATACCAAGTAAAAGAAAGTATGTACCTTGTATTTTTTATGATACCATTCCTTGTCCATGAATATGCTTGGCTGAAGCATTTGCCAAAAAACAACCAAACGACCCATCATAACCCTTTTCATCTGTGTTCATCAGCGGGAACTTTTCTAAGAATTTGTCCAGTGACCAACGCTATAAGCTCGAGACAAGGTTCAGAGCTAGTCGACACGGTCATATTGTGCTGCGACTGAGTTATTGTGGGCACTTTTTCCTTGAAGAACCGAG